TATAATATTTACATTGTCCCTTGGCCAAGTTCAAAATAACTCTACCACATATTTAAGAAAGTGTTCAACATAAGTACTCGACAAACCATTAAATCTATTTATTCACAATTCATTATTTTTCAATATATCTTCAATCATAATTCCATTTATATAAATTCAGTTTAATAAGCGGTTTCATTAAATCTCTTTTACAAACTAACAATATTTTTATCTACGCATAATTATCCTAGTCGTTCTCTAACTCTTCATTTTCGTTTATATTCAATGGGTAAAATAAAGTATATAAAAGTAAAGTATAAAGCAAATATATATAAGTAATTGAATATAAAATTAGCAAATATAATTACATAATCTTTAGTCAAATGCAGATATTATTTTAATTAGACGTTCGAGTGGCATTTTGTTAGAATTTAATTATAGGGGATTCATAATAATGTTTTTATCATTGTTGTTGTAGTACTCACGACCTTAAATATCCACTCCATGATGTGCGTAAAGTTGGGCCCAAGTTCACGTTGACATTGTCGAGCTGTAGGTCAAACTTTAAAGGTTCTAATTTAAATTCCTATTCAAATGCCAAAAGTTCCGTCAATCTGCGAGTATTTAATTCATTATAAATCGCAATACAAAAGAAAATCGAGAATCAAAACAAAACACGAAATATAACTGCAGTATTGCAGCGATAAGACCTTAGTAAACCGCTGGCTGCTACGCTGCGCTGCGATAAGACGAAATCACAAAGTTGGACCTCCGTTGGTCATAGGAGATGATCTTCACTGCGTGACGATGATGATGTTCAAATGTAATTAAATCTGCTCCGGTCGTCTAAACTTCTGCATAGCTGAATATCTGGATGAACTCTAGCCTTCCAATATATTTGGCCAGTTATCATACGGCAGGTGGCCGGTTGCGTAACTTGTTGCTGAAGGTTATGTCGCCTCGTGGCCTCTTCTTGGAGCGACGGGGTTTAAACCATAAGCTAATGCGGGGGTCGACGAGACGGGGGGGGTAGTCGGCTGTAGAGCAACCAAATGCTCTTATATATAGGCCTGGTCTTCCTTACGCCTTGGGGTCGAATCTCGTTGCCACTTTCACACACAAATCGAACACGGAAATTTATTGAAATATCCCTCTCTTGTTTTATGAGATTGGATATATATAACTAAATTATATTTCCACGTGTATGAAGTTTAAATGGGCAGCGTCAAAATTGTGAGCGTTCGCCACGAAGATTTATCCGATAATGATCTAAGCTCTGGGGAAGCTGCATGCTGGTGGTCGCTGTTACAGCTTTTCTTTCCCTAACTGTATAATCGTACGATCATATTCTGTTCTGATTGGTCTAAGACAATTCTCTCGCTTTTTCTTTTACACAAAAGCTGCTATAATTTAGGGCGAGGGTGTCTTGAAGAGTTTTTGCAGTGTAAAGTTAAGTTGGTCCCTACAAGCTCGAGAAAAGACTTATGAAACTAAGGCATGTTTATCATACGTTTGCATTTCAGTCAGGTGCTCCGCTCTTTCTTTTTTATGATATATTTTACTTTCTTAACAAGCCTATTGTGTTAGTTTATGCAAATCTTTATATTGGCAGACCAATGGATTAACCATTTTCGAGAAAAGCTTACTTTTCCAGGTTTTCAATGAACAGCTTGTTGTATTTAAATAAGACTAGTTTTCCATCGGATATGGTTCAGTAAATCCATATAAGTCGGTCATTGTGGTCGGTCGGTGTGGTTACGTTTGCTAGTATTGTTGGTTTGAAGAATTCAACAACTTCAACTAAATTTTGAAAGGAAGACTCTTTATTTCTACCAATATCGTGTCGATTTCGTGTCTATGCCGGTCTATGCCAGTTGGCAGAACCTAATGATGTTGCTGACCTGGACGGCTAGATTTATTGTAGGGTTGCTGTCGCAAGGAAGTACCTACATATTGCGTTAAGTCTATCGATCCTTTGTGCTGGTGCGTTACATACGGGAGACCCAAATTTTTTTTTCGATTTTTGGTTTTCCTTCAATTTTGTTTGTGTTTGAAATTTTGAGTTGTTTTTTTTTGTCCTAAATTAATTTGGTCTTAATTTTTATTTATGACCAATGAAGTGATTGGGATTGTTCTGTGTTAGTGTTGATAGGTGAATGCGAATTACACATATGCTATTGGTGTAAGTTTAATTGCTTTTGAACGAGTTATTACGTTTGATTGTGGAGCACCCACGCCTTTACTTTTTTTAAAATGAAAATATATTGAATGATTTAAGTGGTTTTTTAACTTTTGAGTGCCGATTTATCGTTTGATTTATCGAACGGGAGATGTACGTTTTTAGTCGGTCCTTATGAACTTCTACTTGAGAGAGAACTGCTCATAAGGCGTAGTTTGACGCATCTGAAGTTAAATTAAAAGATTGTGAAAAATTCGGGAACGCCAATACATCAGATGACGAGAGGATTATTTTCAAGTCGTTAACGGCCTTTGGGGTGTTGCACCGAATTGTTTTTGTTAGCGGTCTCTATGAGAAATTATAACATTGCTCCAATTGTCGTACCATACTCTGTTAACGGTATGCTAGACCATTAAACATCGACCACAATCAAAATTTTCCGTTATATAATCATTATCGGAGTGATAATCATGGTGATACTCGCTTGCAGCACAGCTTGATTACCTTAAGGTTGGTTCTTAATGGTAAAGCCTCTCTGCTTTATGGAAGGGGATCAGATTGAAGTTAGCACTTGGGATTCTCTTGAATCCTCCGCCTGCTGTGAGTTGAGTTGGACCTGAAGCTTTGTCTGGATTTATTTGGCTCGTTTTTAATTGCCCCTTGGAATAGGGGCATTCGCCCTACAATTCGTAATTATAGAATGGGGAAGAGGAAATCGGGGGGAGGTCGTTTGTCGGTAATTTCTGTTAAAGGATGAGCCGAAAGTGGGGAGTCTTAATGTAGTCTTCATTTTTCGAAATTCTAGACACATCCGCAGGGTTATGAACAAGTAATAGCTGTTTAAAAAAATAAACCTAATGAATGCATTTAACCTCTTTCTTTTTTCCCATAATTAAAAGAATGTTCCACTTCTGCGGAGAAGTTTATTCTTTTCATACGACTCATGATAAGGAACGCCCTTGTTTCCTTGAAAGTGCCTACATCCTGTGTATCGGCATAGTACAATGCTAGGACGCACTTCACCTCTGGCCAAAGGTCGTCCCGCACATTGTAGGCATTAATCGCTGAATCAGCGCGACCTCTAATACCTACTTTCCTAATTTCTTCTTTAACCCCAGTTATCCGGGTCGTCAGAGCCATGCTCGTGGCATCTACACGACTCAGAACTTCTTTCATTTCTTCCATTTTCATATAATATATGATACCTCTGAGGCACGCGGTGCTACCCAGTCTCTTTCCTTTATTCAATTTTTTCGTATTAACAGGATTGTGAAATTAAAACTGAATTAATTATTTTTGCTTAGATTGTTAATTTTTATAAGAGTGTTGTGCGAACTGTTGTTGCATTTGAAGCAAATGAACATTTTGTGGTTAATTTATTTTCTCTTGAGCTAGTTATTTGGAACTTTGGTCCGTATTTATCCGTTTTGGGTTTTCGCCTACTAAGGTACGGTTGCAACACAAACCACTTTCCGGTTTTTATTTATTTATTCCCGCAGCGGATATCGGATTTTACATTTTATTTTTTATGTTGGCAATTTTTTCACGTTCTGTATGGACTTACGGTTCCCATCTGTGGAAGAACGCGATTAGCAGCAACATCGAGATTATTCAGCGAGCACAATACAAAAAAAAATTACAACCACCTGGTGCACTATTTTCGAATTGACAACATTCACAGTAGGTCTCTATAGGTCAGTAGGGTCTATATATAAATTAAATTAAATTAAATAAAACAAAAAGCGACATCTGACACCAAAATAACTTTTTATCCCAATCAACTGGCCAGGTGTTTCACTCGAGTTTTTTACCAAACCCGCCAACAACGCTACGATTATCCAGCTCATCAATCATTTTCTATAGCGTCAACATGATTATAGCCGTTATTCGTAGAGTAAAAAGGTATACTAGATTCGTTGAAAAGTATGTCTCAGGCAGAAGGAAGCGTTTACGACTATATAAAGTATATACATTTTTGACCAGAACTGGTCATGTCCGTCTGTCCGTATGAACAGCTCGATCTCTGGAACTAGAAAAGCCAGAAAATTGAGAATAGGCATGCAGATTCCAGAGACATCGACGCAGCGCAAGTTAAATAACGCCCATAAACCGCACAAAACTGCTACGCCCCCACTTTTGGAAAATGTTGTTATATTTTTTCATTAGTCATAAATTTGTATTGATTGCCAAAAAACTTTTTGCCACGCCCACACTAAAAAATTAAAAATTTTTGTTTGTATATTTTAATTTTTTTTTCGCATTTTTTACCGATTTTCAAGAAAAAATGTGAAATTTCTCGTTTGCACTTCCACTAGCTGAGTAACGGGTATCTGACAGTCGGGGAGCTCGACTATAGCTTGCAAATTTCTATTGATTTGACAAAACCTTTTTGTCATGCCCACTCTAACGCCGACAAACCCCCAAAACTGGCACGCCCACACTTTTGAAAAATGGGATATTTTTTAAATTTTATTATATATTTCGTAAATTTTAATAGAAGTGCCTTTTCGCCACGCCTTTTACCGATATTCCGGAAAAAGTTTAAATTTCTCTATAGCATTCGGTCTTGTTTTATTTGTTATATATTAGCAGCTGTGTCGCTTATGACCTTGGTTGATTCGTCCGATTTATACTGATAGTCCGAATGATCGTAAATTGGATAGTAAAAATAGTCATTAGAAATATATTGCTGATAAGCAGCGGTCTCTAAATGTAACGATTCATCCATACTTAAGTTTTAATTTTTGATTTTATAGGTACACAATACCTTATACCAATGGTTAAGGAACTTACTGTCTGTGATTTTTTTTTTTAAATATATAAATTTTGTCTCTCGTTCCAGATGAAGTATTTTATGATGCGAGGGGCAGCCACATCCCTCAACAAAATGATACAATATGGATATTTTAAGAAACTTTTTTATTGTTTATATCTACTACTTTCATCTAGACCGTTTTTCAGATCACTGTGGTGCTGAAAGAGTTGACATAGAACAAATAATTATTTAATAATATAAATTAAATAAGAACAAATAAATCTTCTTGCTTTCTATTTTTGTTTTGTTTTTGGACATGTTGAAGTCCCAAAAACTAAAATTTTTGTATGTATTTTATTTAGATGAGCTTAGATAATTGAGATATAAACAATATATCGTAAAAAAATAATGAATAAATTTAACGTAAGTTTTGACAAACTTTCATTATGCTTTTCTGTGTTTTTTAGCGTAGAGTTCTAAGAGTAGATAAACAAATCATAATAAATCATAACCAAATAAATCATAATAAATAAATGGGAAAATCTGTGAACTTTGGACCTGGAGACGTCAAGGAATAACGTTTATGGACGGCATATATTAGTTTGGCAAATATCCTTTTGTCTTTTGAATTTCGCGGCTATGTACAAAGCGCTACAGAGCTCGTATCTGGCAATACTATTCATAATTGGAAAGGTCTTGACATAACCTACAAAACGACGCTATGATTAGTTTGGATATTGCGTTCAACATTTATAGACGTGTAAACATGGAGTTCACTAACGCCGAAATTCGCGCTATTTTAAAGTTTTCCTTCGTTAAAGGCAAATGCGCTAGAGAAACGTTCCGTGAGATTAATGGTGTTTTGGGGGATGGTACTCTATCAGTTCGAACCGGGGAGGAATGGTTTCGACGATTCAGAGCCGGTGAAAACGACACCATGGATAAGCCAGCCGGCGGAAGACTGGTGACAACAAATACCGATCAAATCATGGAATACATCGAGTTAGACCGGCATGTGGCATCTCGTGACATCGCCCAGGAGATGGGAGTTAGTCACCAAACCATTTTAAACCATCTGCAGAAGGCTGGATACAAAAAAAAGCTTGATGTTTGGGTGCCGCATGATTTGACGCAAAAAAACCTTCTGGACCGAATCAACGCCTGCGATATGCTGCTGAACTCGACCCATTCTTGAAGCGGATGGTGACTGGCGACGAAAAATGGATCACATACGACAATATCAAGCGAAAACGGTCGTGGTCGAAGGCCGGTGAATCGTCCCAAACAGTGGCCAAGCCGGGATTGACGGCCAGGAAGGTTTTGCTGTGTGTTTGGTGGGATTGGAAGGGAATCATCCACTATGAGCTGCTCCCATATGGCCAGACGCTTAATTCTACCATCTACTGCGAACAACTGGACCGCTTGAAGCAGGCGATCGACCAGAATTGGCCAACAGGAACGGTGTAGTGTTCCACCAGGACAACGCCAGACCACACACTTCGTTAATGACTCGTCAGAAGCTACGGGAGCTCGGATGGGAGGTTTTATCGCATCCACCATATAGCCCGGACATAGCGCCAAGTGATTACCACCTGTTCCTGTCCATGGCGAATGCCCTTGGTGGTGTAAAGCTGAACTCAAAAGAGGCTTGTGAAAAGTGGCTGTCCGAGTTCTTCGCAAATAAGGAGGGGGGCTTCTACGAGGGAAGTTATGAAGTATTATGAAGTTGCCGTCTAGATGGAAACAGATTATCGAACAAAACGGCGCATATTTGAACTAAATCCGATCACTGTAACACTTTTTATAAAGCATTGAATAAAGAGCAAAAAAGCGGAAGGGAGATACTTGCCAATCTATTATGTATAAGCAGGCCGAGTGCTGAGAGCTGGACAGTCAAGGAGAACCGGAGAACTAGTAAGCAAGTAAGCAGCAAGTGAGATTCAGCTGAGAACAAGAAGCAAGTTCACTATGTCGAGACGAGGAAAGTCACCGAATTGAGGCAGATAGCGGTCCATTAAGAAAATGCAAGGCTAGCAAGACTAGATCCTGGCGTTGGTCTGGCGAGTCCGATAGTGCTGGATAAGGAGTACCCAAATCTAACAAGGACAGGTGCGCCTTGCGAATTATGGTGAAGACCCGATTGACTGTTTTGAAGTTTGCGTAACGTGAACCGGTCGGTTGCCCGGAGCGTTCCTGAGAGCCTAACAGGCGTGGTACCTAGTCAATTCCTCGCCCAAGTATCTAGCAGCAAGCAGTCCAGTTCGAGCCAACCAGGTCCACGAGATAGGCAGGACAGCGGAAATGAGGCAGTCAAGCAATCCTAATCCAAGTACGACCACACCAGCCTTGCTACAGAGACTACGGCGTAAACTGGAAAATCGTCCGGACGGACCGTTAGTGGAAACTGAACAGGCTAGCACGGCACGGTTCACCCTTATATGGGAATGACAGCTCATCTCGTCGCCACAAATCACGCGTGGCAGCAGTAGTACCTGGGGATGCAAGCATCGCGGAAACAATGGGGGATCCCGCAAGGGACAAAGTGTAACACAAGATAATTATAGATCATCGAAACGAAAAACCGCAGTTAACTGCTAGCTACCGGGTAATCACGTTTAATATAAATATAAATAAATCTTTTGAGTTATCCGCACGTATCACGTAGCGAGAAGACCAACAAAATCAGTTTGTTACAATACAAATAAAAATAACTTGCTAACTTATATTATTCGCCAACAAATAAACTTTCTTGACCTTGCATAGGCTTTCGACCAAGTTCGGATTGAAGGCATATTTAAAGACATTGGATAACAAGATGCGTAACGACAATACATTGGTTTTGGTTATAATTCCTCTCCCCCCGCTCGCACAAAACTGAGAGCATAAAAATCTTGTGTGAGTGAAAACAGTAAGCAAGAAAGTGTGTATGTGTGCATAGAACTTTTGTGTGCTAGAAGACGATTTTCGGTCCGAAATCAATTTTGATCTAAGAAACGAATTTGATTAATGTTTTGGTCAATTTCGTTGTAATATATGTCGGAATATAAAGATTATGCATGAACTTGAATTATTTCATCATATTAATATATGTTTTGCGTCTTTGCATTGTGGTTGTCCGTCGTTTTTCTGCAAGTACCGTTGGAGCGGGGCGACAACGACGCGTCGCCTGTCTAGTTGCACGACGATGCGTCGCGACTTTGCCGCCGAGTGTGGTTCGAGTTTTCCTATAGGCTGTTAGAAAACGAGCAGGGCAGTATGCTTGAGTAATCGCCTGTGAATTGTTCGAAACGCGCTGCGCTCTAATGGGAGACGAAGATAATTCGACATAAAATGCATCGGAAACTTATCAAATGCTTCGAGAGGCCTTTAAGGAGGAGTGCATTTCGAGATCTCAGTGTGGAAGGTGGCACAAGGCCTTCAAGGAGGGTCGAGAGGAGGTCACCGACGATCCACGTTCCGGACGTCCAACAACAGCACGAATTGATGAAAACGTTCGCCGTGTGCGAGAAACTTTGAGTTCAGACCGTCGGTTAAGCATCCGGGCAATCGCTGACATCCTAAACTTGTCAACATTTGCGGTACATGGAATAGTGACGGAGGATTTGCAAATGCGAAAGGTCTGTGCGAAGCTTGTGCCGAAGGTGTTGACGGAGGAGCAGAAAAACGTTCGAGTTTTGCGCTGTGAAGAATTGTTGGAATCGATTAGAAATGATCCAGGTTTTTTAAATTTTACTGTAACTGGGGATGAATCCTGGATGTTCGAGTACGATCCAGAATCCAAACGACAGAGCTCCGAGTGGCATTTTTGCCAAGTCGCACACAAAACTTTATGGCGTACCGCTGTTCCAGCGACGTGACAATGAAACCATGCGCATTACTTTCAAACTTTAAACAGTTGGTCTGAAGCTCAATATTAATTTATCTAAATTCTTACAGATAAAGTATCATATTTTGTATATACAATTGACAAATATGGTTTACCTAAAAATTCGAATCGATATCAGAGTATTATAAATTGTCCAATTCACAATAGTATTACTATAGTATTACTATAAACCACTATTCAAAGTGTATATCAAATTTTAAAATGAGAATAAGTCCGCTATATGAATTGCTAAAGAAAAATTTAAAATTTAGTTGGTTAGAAAAATGTCAAGAATCATTCGAACAAATAAAGAAAGAAATTGTTTCACATCAGGTACTAATCCATTTTATAGTTAGCTACCGTTCATATTATCAACGGATGCAAGTAATACTGCAATCGCAGGTATATTAATCTCATCGATTGCATGACAATACAATTAGACCTATTCATTCGTTTCTAGAACATTGACAAAAGCTGAACAAGTTACAGTACGTTAGAAAAGGAAGCTCTAGCAATTAAATTTTGTGTAGTCAAATTAAAACAATACTTATTAGGACAACATTTTAATTTAAAAGCCGATCACAAACCTTTGAAATTTATATTTGGTGAAGGAAATACCTCAAATGGCATAAGCCAGATTTTAAAGGTGGGCATTTTTTTTATCAGGATTCAATTATACAAGTGAATATATAAAAGGAAAACTCAATGAAGATGATAAATTATCCAGAATTTCAAAGTTTGAATCAAAAGAAGAGTTAGATGAAAATAGTTTCGTAAACTATACTGAACAGCTGAATTACTTGAATTGAACTTTTAAAATTGCAAAAGAAACCAGATGTGATCATGTTTTCTCAAAGGGCATGTAAGCTATAAAAGAATGAAAAATTAATGAATTAATAGGAAAAGAATATGAATCATAAAAAAACAAATCATGTGAATTGTCAGTTGAATATGATAGCATTCTTTGGGAATATAGAACTATCGTTCCAAAGAAACTTCAACAATCAGTTTTGAATGAATTACACAGATCGCATATGGGCATAGTCAAAACAAATACCTTAGCAAGATCGTACATATGGTGGCCAAACAAAGATCAAGATATAGAGAAAATGATCAAGAATTGTATTTACTGCAAAGAAATTACGGACTAGTAGGCACACTTGTCAGCGACGATGCTATACAATTTACATTAAAATATTTTTAGAAATTTTGTAGACATACTACAGAGAGACAGTGGCAAAGATTAAACATAAACTTGGTCCTAGATCTTACATATTTATTAACAATCACAATAATAAAGAAATAAAAAAACATTGTAATCAAATGCGTAAAAAATCACTTGTTGACAAACAACATTTTGGAGAACTTGGTGATGGAGATATGACTA